GATTATGGGTATCCAAGTGTGACGACAGATTCGTGAACTAATCGTCACTCGAATGACGATACAAACGCAAATCGCTCAAAAAAGAAATTACTCCTGGAATGTTGTAAATTAACTTAATCAATTCTTCATGCGGAATGGTGACTCTACTTACAATTATTAATATCTACAATTTCCATCAAGACTATTAATATTTTGTAACGCCGTAGAGTACTTACTTTATGGCTCGATTATTTAGGCCTACTCGCGAAGCATTATATTGTCTCCTCCGGATTGTATGCTTAGCAATCCTGACACTTGTGCATACCTGCTTGCAACAACCATCTTTCAAATTCATTAGTAATAAGGCAACATTGCCATTTTCCATTGCAGCTAATGCTAAAGACACCATGTTAAAATAAATGTTGCTGGTGATACCTTTATTTAATTCAGTTGAGCTGACCAAATTAATTTAATAGCCAATCAGGTACTATAAATATTGTGATATACGGGTAAATAGCAATAACCTTAGGCCAGGTAGCACTTGAACTAATTTATTACGGGATTGTGCCCTTCATTTGTTGCATCACACATGGTGACAAGAATAATAAAGTCATGGGTGAAGGTCTGTGTGCGTTAATAATCGACAATAAATAAAGTAAGTGCCATCAATACTATATTATGGCTGAAGACAATGAGTCAGTTTCGAGGCAATCTTCTTCAAAGCCTTCAGATGAGATCTTTGTCAGAAACTTAATTAGTCTATAACTATAAATATTTTGCAATCTAAAGCATGAAACAAGTCCATCATTAGATACTCTCTACGCTTTCTATATTTCATCTATGAGACAAGCGTGTATTGCTGCTCCCTCCAAGCCAAAGCAACAGAATGCTGAGTTCCTGCACCAACCGCAACGACTTTGAATCCAGTTAAATTCCTGTCATTTATAGTATACGGACTATGCTCGTCTGCACCGGGAACCCTAATCGCTGGTGCGTTGGCAAGAGCATAAAAGTCCCCACGTCCCCAGGCGTGCGAATTCCAACACTTGGTGGATGCAAGAGTATGACCATAACCGACAGCTATTGAACAGTAGGAGGCACTTGTATGAACTAGTGTTGGAGTTGCTATAAACTCGGTATAGTGTTTGGAGGTCGAAAAAGTATCTTCATAAGGAGTCGTCAATGAGATTATCGGTGTAGAAGAGGGAGCTGATGTAGGAACAATTGATGACGACTGAACAATAACTGATTTAGGTTGTGTCATTTGCCCGTTGCTCTCTTTATCGCCACGCTCTATTGCAATTTTGTCACTTCCTCGACATCCTATTCCCAGCCATTCCTTCCTCCCAAACATGTATACTTTGCCATCATCCAACAAAATAGCCGACATGTACCTTCCTCCTCTGATCTCTCTGATTCTTTTTCCTTCCGCGAATTCGAGTTGAACCGGAAACTCAACACAAGTCCCGATACTCTTAACTCCACATTGTCCATAATCATTTAATCCCCAACAAAACACTTTTCCATCCCTCCTGACCGCAAAACAGTGATGCGCTCCACTTCCTATGCTTACAATATTACTCAATTCTGCTATACGTTCTGGTATCAAACATGCATATGGATTACGGGTAGATATACGTCTACCTAGGGACGAATATGCAGAGTCACCCCAGCTGTATACTCGTCCATCCGACGTAAGAGCCAACATGTGATTGCGACCAGCTGCAAGGGAGACGAATCGCATTTTCTCAGTTGGTTTATAAAGCGTGAATGTAAATTGGCAGATGTTGGGTTTCAGACAGGAAAGACCGAATATTTTAGTATTGTCTTCAGCTGACTTGAACAAAATTAAATGGGACAAGGAAATCAAAAAAATAATATAATCAGCCTCAAAAAGCAAAAGCAAGAACTGTCATGACTCAATTATTCTTGTTAATGGATCGTATACCGTGAATGTTCCCGTGGCATACAAGCGTCCTTCCTCACTTAATGCAAACGTAAACTCTCTTCCGCATACTGCTCTCACGATTTTTACACCATCCAGTCCGTCAACGGGCTGAGGTACATATTCTCCCCACTCAGAGTTTTTAGTAACTCGTCCAAGACTTCCGTAATTGTTCTCGCCCCAAGACCACAACTAGTAAGATCGAATAAATTGCACGTTCATCAACGTTAATGACACACAAGGTTTGTAATTACAGCCTTTTGTTCCACTCGATCCATCGTTCTTCATCAACCTCCCCTATCATTTCTCCACCCTCCATTTTCTAATCCTGTGATCAATGTCTTAATACTCACAGTCCCTTTATCAGTCAAGGCCACATTATGAAAATACCCAACGTCAATATCACATATATTTTTATAGCTCAGTTTTTTCAACGGTGCAGGAGTCTCTACGAATAGCTTTTCCTCCCCAAGCCCAATCTGCCCACTGTATCCAGCACCCCATACGAAAACGAATGTCTTGTGGTCATGGGGGAGAGTACGACGTGGTGAAAGATGAACTGGATCTGGTTCTTTCTCGGCTCGTTTTCTTGCTGCTGCTCCTCTAGTTAATGGGCCTGGGTTGACAACAATATGGATAGACAAGAACAAATGGGGAGAATATGAAAGAAGATAGAATTGGAATGTGAATATTGAGACACGCAAAGGAAGTAGCAGTTGGAACGTTGCATGAGACCTGTGAATTGTCGTCGTTGCGGATGTTTTGCTTTGGGCATATGTGATATTTGCGTTTGGGACACCAGAATTTTGAAATGTCATCTTTTTTGTGAATCATATAATCTGACATTTAGAAATGACGTCATGTACGCCAAACGTCACAATAACGTTCTTATTATTATAACGAATTTAGGAAAAATAACCAAAAAGTCGTAGAGTTTCGGTAAAAAGTATACTAATCTAGAATGGGTTGAGAATTTGATGGTAGATTTTATTAATAAAGTATATTGCAACTACACGAAAATTAAAACCCTTTACGGAAACATATAATGTTCTATGTAAGCTACCTGGATTTAGATCAAGAATTTAATACAGTGTATCTGCTAATCAGCAGATTATGATATCTGTGAGTGACGAATACAGTTACCGATGTCGAGCAAACTGCATTACATAAATGGAGTTGGTTAAAGAAAATGGCAACATTGGGTGTTTCTTATAATATTTTGCAGCACAAGTCGCTTACAAGTGAAAGCACCTTAGTCCTAGTTAGTAAAGCAGATTCTACAGATTTTATTTTTGCTCAAGTTTATTCTTGATTATGCAGTAAAATTGATTGAGAATTTATTGATTAGCAATAACAACTTTTTAACATCAGTGTAGTGTGTTAATAAAAGAATGCGAAACCTCTACCGTATTTAAATCTGTATAATCAACTCTGAGAAGCTAAGCATAATTATCAACTTATATATATTAACCTTGTTGATCATTATCTGCTATTTTACACAGATCGTATTCTTCATCAGCGAAAGAAACAACGTTGGTAGAGGGATAGGGGGTTGGCGTTCTGTATCGCGAACGCTCTTGTGATGGCTGTGCATTGTTATTCAAAGCTGATGGATTTATGGTAGGGCAAACGCGTTGCTCACAGCAATAACGACAAGGATTATATATTGTTGCTGGAGATGTGAGGTAGATGTCCGATAGATGATTGCAGTTGCAACAAAAAATTGGTTTACTGTTCAATTCAACGAAGTTGAGGTGGTAAATTATTTCTGATACACCCCTTGCGGATAGATGTCTTCCAACGCGACTGTCGAGGACGTTCTTGCTGTCCAAATCCGGCCGAAGAATATGATCGAGGGTATTCTCTGGTACTCGTATCGATAGCTTTTTGCATTCACAGAAAAATGTGCCCAGGCCGCTTCTATTTAGCACTGCTCCAAACGTTTCTTGGCTTGAGACTACCATCGATGCACCATTAATGGATCTTGTAATAGCACCAGGTTGCTTTACTTTCGTAAGAACTCGTACGGTATAGTGTATTGTTGGCTCTTCTTCGCTATTCATTCTGCTATTTACCTAATGTAAGTTAGTAATATGCACATAACCTATGGAAAAGAATAATAAGGCTTACTAACCTTTTACGCGAGAGAAGTGTTTTTAATGAGGTGAGATGATGCCACTATCGTATCGTATATCAATACATTTATACAATTGTGTTTGTAATTGTTTGCCCTTTGCAGCTCGCATTTATACTTATAAGTATAGGCGCAATGCAGACTAACCATAAACGTTGAGAACAAAAGTTTTGGGAACCAAACAAATTAAAGATGAGATCATATCGGATAGTGTAAACAATAGTGGAAAATAAATATCTCATTCGACACTGCATAAGCATGTCAGACGCACAAAAACCACGAGACTTTTATCTATCTTGATTTGTCGAGCATTTTGTCCGCCATTCTTCCGTCGCTTTCCTCGAATTATTCCGTACTTACCTCTCTTTTCCCGCAACAATATTATCACGTTATTACGGTTATTTTTAGGTACGAATAATGGCTCGAAGATAAGGGCCATCTATCGCTATATACAGATAATTTTGATCAATGATAACGTAAACGGGGATACGGATTTTTTAGCTTATGAATATTACGATAAAAGCGTCACTCGACTATGTAATAGCGATATCGCCAACGAAATGTTTAAAAGAGATAAATATAAATTAAAGAATTACTGTATGAAAAAAAAAAAAATCCCAACTATGAAATGACAGGAACCCAGCCTCTTTTCGGTGAGTGATTTTCATAAATCACATGTTACACTGTGCAACTGTCCAGGATAGAAGTAGGGATCATTCCAGACAAACCTCTCCAAAAAGTCTAGTTGCGAAAGTAAAAGACATGCATGCTATAAAAAATTTTTGTAGGAAGAGCTTAATATTTAATATCGAGCTCAATACACTCTAATACTAATATTGAAAACATGTCCAATTTATTTATTATTTCTGATCAACACTGCCACAGTAATCTTGGTGATAAACTAAGAGAGATCAAAACGATTCACGTTTCTGAATACGTGGGGAGCTGAAAAGTTTTGTGTGTGGCTCTCTAACTCCAGAATGAAAAAAAAAAGTAGAGGCAAATTCATTATCCCATTATCGAGAACCCATTTTTTTTGTAAACTATAGTAAAATGACTGGGGAAAAAAAATAAGCCGTGAGAACTAACGATACTTTATTTTCGTTTCTTGGAAAAATAGCAGAAATACGACTCAAATCTACGAAGAGTTGGTAATGTAGAAGGGGAATAAGCATTGTCTATAAGCATAATTACACGCTGGATTGCTACATTCAAAGACAGGGAAGAAGAAATAAAGACAAGGATAGTCCTTGACGTCCTCGCAAAGTAGGGACGTCAGAAAAAATTGCCAAGGCCGTTAGGCATTTTTCGAAGGCTGTTAGTTAGTTCGTGACGTCATGCTTCATCACGGCAATGTCGCACCACATTAACATAAGGCAACGATTATAACCGGAGTATCTTACTTCTTCTCCACCCGCCATACGGAACACCTTTAGCGTTCAATGTGGGTGTTGGCAAATAAAGAACGCAAAACTCCATACGGTCCAGAGCTTGCTCCTTGAAATTTTTTCTTATTCCCTCAAATCAAAAAAAAAGAAAAAGATTTGATAAAGTCAAAAATTTAGCAAGCTGTTCAGGCAATTGCTGAAACCATCCCAAAAGCTGGTACTTGAGAGAATGGAATAGTTGGAAATAAAGGTCCACGCGCAAAGAGAGACGCGGTCGTAGGCCATGGAAGAACGCACAAAGAGAGACGCGGTCGTAGGCCATGAAAGAGCGCACAAAGAGAGATGCGGTCGTAGGCCATGGAAGAACGCACAAAGAGAGACGCGGTCGTAGGCCATGGAAGAACGCACAAAGAGAAACGCAGTCGTAGGCCATGAAAGAGCGCACAAAGAGAGACGCGGTCGTAGGCCATGGAAGAACGTGCAAAGAGAGACGCGGTCGTAGGCCATGGAAGAACGCACAAAGAGAGACGCAGTCGTAGGCCATGGAAGAACGCTTCCAGCAGCATAAATACGACAAAACAATCTCAAATCATTACCGAGGTTGGCACGCATGAATTTAATATTGATGTACTGTAATAGTAACAAATAGTTAAGCTTACAGATAGCCTACGCAAAATTAAAGCCTTAGTAACAAGTTGACGTGGCGAGACCCTCATACTCAGTAATCAATCGAAATTGGTAATCGGACCTGCTCTGGAACCGGCACGTCGAATGAAACCCGGGTTTCTTGTGCAAAAACGTATGGGCCTGGGAAGCGACCAGATCTTATGTTCGTCGCAAAGCGGGATAGGAAGGATTACGAATTACGAATTACTGTAGTTGAATGCTCACGCAAAAATAAAAAAATAATAGCCGATGATGAGGTGAAACTGTGGCATGAGGCCAATGCTACTACACCCCATCTTTGGTGAGTTTCTCGAAGATTATACCTACTGATGCAGACTATGATTTAGCTAAAAAAGTGATGTATCTCGTATGTTCTGGCCTAAATACCATGTGACAATAGAACATCAATAGAGTCTCTCAACAGCTCATCTTCCCAAGCAAATTAGGCAAACATGTATGCGAGAAGGGAATTGGTGAAAGGGGAGATACCAAATTTGGCTGATGTTAATATCCATTAAATGATACCAGAGCATAACGAAATCGTTAACAAATACAATAAGCAGATGTTTATGATTTTATTTGTTTGTTTTTGTTTTTTGCGTTAACTTGTCTTCCATATTTTAGATAATTAAATAGGTTCTGTGCTCTAGTAAATATTTCTCGATTCTCAAGTGTGCTTTATACCCCAAATAATCAATCTTCCATCGACCCCGCTCGTTGAAACATGGTCATGCGATTCATCGTAGCGGCGGACCAACCTGCAACGCCGCAAGATATCAAAACGAATTAATACTCAAATAACAAATAAACAAGCGATAATGTTGGTAAAACGTACGTGATCGTGTTTTGATGAACAGTGGCTAAATCCGCGTTTCCACTCTCGCTATCCAGAGCGATACCTCGCTTATCCATCTGGCGAAATCGATTGAGCACAGTGGCTTCTCCCGCTGTCTTCTTTTTTCCAGCATCAATTACCTTTGAGAACTGCCTATACGATTTAAGAATAAGCATTTAATTAAACCAAATTATCGCTGCCTATTATTATTAATAGCATTGACTGACCAGTTCAGCCCATCTTTAGCCTCTAGTAAGACAGGAGTACAGTCGAAGCCAGCAGCTACTATTCTAGACTCAGACACCCAAACAAGACTCAAAAGCGGCAGTCCTGAAAGTTTTATCTCTGAGGTGTGCTTTCCAGGATAGATGACCGTTACCTGTGCATCTTGACCTACGGACATAAATGATGTGAAGATATTGTCAAACACTTTTGTGATCGCGCGAAAACCAGTATTCACTCATTAAAACTAACCACAAAGAGCCAATGCGTCTCCGCTAGGAGAGAATGCAACACCATGAATCCAACCACCGCTTCCATTGCTGTACTCTCCGCAAATAGTATTGAACGGCAACTTGTCACCCCAAACGGTGGGAGGCGGTCTGTCCACGAGAACAACAAAAACAGGTAAAACTAAATTTGGGTTATCAGAGATTGAATAAAAATCTGCGTTGCAATCAAGTAGAATTAAGAGAATGGGGGAATGGGGGAATGGGGGAATGGGGAAATGGAGGAATGACAAAGGTAAGGTAGAAGGGGGAAATAAAGAGAAAGTATGGGCAAAAGAGAAAGTATGGGCACAAGAGAGAAGCAGAAATGAAATGGCTTACTTTTTGTCTACGCCTTTGATGAACGCTGAAAATACTCGCGCCTGCGATTTCGATGTACAAGATATCAAAACAGTCAGCATATATCATCACAAATAAATGTCCGACAACTCTCTCGCATCGGAATCTCGTAAAACTTGCTTTGGATCACAAAATCAGTCTTCTCTTCCAAATCGCTACTCACCTTAAAGTCAGCACCCCCAGCTGCCAGAAGCACATTATTGGGATGCCAATCTAAACACAAGACGGTACTCCTGATCGACTTTTTCAGATGTTTACTAACCCACCAGTCATTATCTCCCTCAAAGTAACAGATCGCAATCGCACGTGCACCTGAAGCAACCGCAAATTTATCCTCGTTGGGAGACCAACGTACACAAGTAGCTGCACGGTTTATACGGAGAAGAACCAAAGTAGGCTTCCATTTGTTGGTAATTGAATCAAGGTTCCAGACGTAGGCATTGCGGTCTTGCGAACAAGTAACTATTGCAAAAGATTGTTTAAAGTGAGGTTACGAATTGCGAGAATAGTAACAGATACGATGACAGTTTGAAGACAAGATCTCAAAAGAATCTTAGCGATTCGGCGAATTAGTTGAACGTTTATTAGAATTATCTTGCATATACTCATTTATAGATCTTAAATAGAATGGTCCTTACCTATTCGGTTGGATTCTGGAGCCCAATCGATAGACGTGACAAGCTTGTCATGCTGCATTTAGAACCATTCGTATCGTAAAATTGCACCAATACCTACTACGCGACCAAAACCTTCTTGTCCCCTCCAAGTAAATTTACACACCTCAAACAAAGAGTGAAGGAGATTCCAAGAATTCCCAGTTTTCTGATAAATTTGCACTTCGTTATTATTTGGACAAATTGCCACCTCTATCCGGAAACAAAAAAAAAATAAACCGCCAGCATCAGTTCACCTAATGTCTTGTTGATTGAGAACTTGGAGCATATGAATGATCCTTGGACAAGCTTACGTGTTCTGTCTTTGTTAAACGCATGCGCCGTAAGAGGACCAATGTTCAGTTGATGCACTTCCTGAGCAGCCATTCTCCTCAATATATACGTACAATATATGCGCAAAGAATGGTATTTCTATACCGTATGTGCGACTTGCAAAAGATTACCGCTAGATGTTACTGCGGTATGTCAGTATGCAAATTGACCAATAAAAATGAGCCAAAACTGATTTGTCTCTCTAATCTGGAAACTTTTCCTTGCTTTTTTTTTTACCTTCCTACCTGTTTGATCTGTATCAACACAAAAGCCCTCCAATGTTCGGAATTGACTTACAAGCAGAAGAAACGCCATATAAAGAATATGTTCTTTACTTTTCCCTGTTAGCCTACGTAGGCGAACAGTACCTAAGGTACATTAAATTCCTCCCATAGTCCCACTCACTACTATCCGCACCCCGTTTATTTTATTGTATTTTGTTTTTTTTTCCTTTTCCTCTCTTTTCTCAGTTAACTCCTAACCCCCAAATTAACCCAGTCTTCGTCAGTATTGGAAACTATGCGAACCTGATCCCCCAAAATCACTTCGGGACATTGATGAAGTGAAGAAGAAATTTCCGAATGCCCAGGCCTATGGAAAAGATAGGTTGAAGTTTAGATTTGTATCGGAATCGTTTGTACAGTTGCAAACGATAGCGTATCTGGTTTTCGATTTATATCCATGGTTGTGGATTGCTTCTGGAAATTGGTTGGCATATGCGGGATATGGAGAGGAATACGAGGTATGAAATACGTGCGAGATGATTGAATAAGAGATCAAGAACAATGAAAGGTGAACTTTTTCAGATTAAATTAACGCGACAACTAAATCAATGCGTTCTAGATCACACAGTCGCTAGTTTTTACCGTGTTATTGTCTTTGTTGACATGGATCATGTCTCTTCCGTTGACACTTTATAATACCTTTGTAATTGAAGAAAGGCACGGATTCAACAAGATGACTCTACGACTGTTCTTCATGGATACTCTGAAGGGGTTTCTATTGGCTGGAGTCATTGGTTTGCCCGTAGTGGCTACAGTTTTGCAGATAATAAAATGGACTGGATACAACTTTTATGTATACGTGTGGGCATTTATGTAAGTAAATGTAAGGTTCATATTAAATCTTGATGTCACGTGTCTCGAAGTGGTAGCGATAATCTATACGACAAGATAACCAACGATATATATATTATTTGTGCTTTATTTTTAGGTTAGTGTTTAATTTCATTCTGATTACAATATATCCTACATTTATCCAGCCGATGTTCAACAAAGTAGATCCATTACCTGATGGCCAACTCAGGACAGAGATTGAGAAACTTGCTTCTAGTATTAACTTCCCATTGAAGCAGTTGTATAAAATTGATGGGAGTACGCGGTCCGCGCACTCAAACGCGTATTTTTATGGATTCTTTAAGAACAAGAGGATTGTTCTCTTTGATACTTTGCTAGATCAAGTAGAACGAGAAGAGATTCTCGCTATTGTTGGTAGGTACTGTAGAACAATATTCAATCAAATCATCGCGTCAAAGATTATTAACTTGATATTATCATGTCAGGTCACGAATTGGGTCACTGGGCGCTCAATCACACTGTAAAAGTCCTAGTAATATCACAAGCACAGATATTCATTCTGTTCTATGTGTTTTCTCAGTTCATAAACAATAAAGCGCTTTATGAATCGTTCGGCTTCACCACTATGCCAGTGCTAATTGGATTGTTCTTGTTCCAATTAATATATGCACCCGTCGAGACTGTGACCACGTTCTTAATGAATGTTCTCAGTAGGAAGCATGAATTTGAGGCTGGTTAGTATAATAGTGAAGGATTTGATTACAGCAGAGTTGTGAATTCTTTTCGATAGCTAATTACTGCATGCTCGATAATTCCAGATGCATATGCCAAGAGGCTAGGATTTGGTGCTCAGCTGCGCTCTGGGCTTATTAAAATCCAAGTCAAGAATCTAACAAATATAAATAACGATGATTGGTTTTCAAAATACCACTTCTCCCATCCTCCTCTTCCAGAGAGGCTGAACGCTTTGGAGAAGACTGAATAGTCGTACTGGATATAAACAATAAGTTACTGAATAGGTACAAGCGACTCGAGTTACACGTTTGTATGTGCAAATAGTTTATGAGCATATTTACCAACTTTTATTAAATTAGTGACTTCAAATGTAGAGGAATGATAGTTATCGGTATTAATGCTGTCGGAAATTTATTATTGTGCATCTTGTTAACAGTGTACATTATTACAAGATGCCTTTTGTACTAGGAACATCGGTTGTTCCCGTTCTCTCTGCGGCCTGTTTTATGGCTAAAGCAAGAGCTTTGAAAGCCGATTCTGCTCTGCACATATAGAGTCGTCACCATCATAGATTGGTTGTATATCATAAAAGTATGTTAGTGTTCACATTCATTGTCCATACTGCATTCGGTACAATTCCTACCTATGATGATCATTCTCCCCTTTGAGTACATCGACATGTAGCGTAATTCCAGCAGACGTTGCAAATGATGATAAAACATGGGGAAGCATCTCTGTTGATAGATCACCTATCTTTTCCCTCTTTAAATTGAGATTAACATTCGCAAATGGTCTTCCAGAGATATCGACCACCGCACGAGAGAGGGCCTAGGGACAAGTATATTTGTCAATATTATTTACCGATAATAAATTACACATAGCATATAGTTTTATATTGTGTATGGTGGGGGAAGACATGTGACCTCGTCTAATGGTGCATAGGCATATCCAAATCTCTTTATTCCACGCGGTATACCCAATGCTTCTTTAAAGGCCATACCAAGCGTGATTGCCGTATCCTCTGCAGTGTGATGGTCGTCGATATGTAAATCTCCTTTACACTGAAGATACAGAGTCCATCCAGAATGCTTTGCTAAAGCATGGTACATCTAAATCGACGACAAAAAGCCCACGATGAATACATTTCAATCATTCGACCGATAACAATTCACGATAATTACATGATCCAAGAACCCTATGCCAGTGTTGACTGATATTGATTGATTCTCAGTACTGTCGAGTAGTAGTTGTATGGTTATATCGGTTTCGTTAGTTTTACGAGAAACATTGGATTCCCGGACATTGATATCCATGATTTTGATGAGATGGAAAGTTTTATTACTCTAGTTCATCGGGTTACAGACTAGAGTTATCATGTGATTAAAATAATACAACAAATAGAGTTGGACAATCTCGTGATCTGCACGAGGAATTTAATTCAACACGAGAATTGCAACGTTAGTGATTCTTTCGTTGTAAATAATTCAGTATAGACGGATTGTCATCGTTTGACTTTACCTCGAACATGTCATCTTTCTTCGAGAAAATACCAGTCAGTAAAGACATTTATCCTAATCCAAAACAGTGTTGTTACTTGATACCTAATGATGGCAATGCAAAAAATAATAAAACAAAAACCGACATGGTACATAGTGAAACCGTTAAAACCGAAGTGGGTCGGGAACATAGGTGGGAAATGCTAAGAAATTCGGTTTAACGGGGTTCAATTAGTAAATTCGGTTAAACGGGGTTCGGATTAACGGGGTTGACTGTGTGCGTTATTGACAAACGAAATTTTCGAGCTTTCTCTCCTTGATGGATTCTTTCATTGTTCTATTAGCTTCTATTGCACGATCTATTCTTTCGTCGAATGGAAGCTACTTCTCACGTAATCTACAATTTGCAGATGTGACTGACAATCTAAATTTGGTAAATCGTAAAGAAAAAAGTTCATGAATGTAGAGCTGTATTATCACAGTGTATAACAGCAAGAACATGTCGAATATGGTCATCTGCATTCTCCATTTAATGATGAGTTTAGTCATCAATCTAAAATGTTAATACTGGTCGAAACATGTTTCAAGTTACACTTTCACTTATCGAGTGTCTAACCACTTCCAAATCTTGTTGACTAATCATCGTTATGAGCGGTTTGGCTGCCATTGAAGGTTTTGAATCTTGAGCGTAAATCCCTCAATTTGAGTTGTGTTGTAAGCAACCATATTAATGTTATAGTTGCACTCAAGTTGATCATAGTCATGGCGCTCACATGTGTGATTTCCGTTATTTGGCGATGCAAAAGCCATCCCCCCTGCATGCAACATAAGCATACATAATTTAGAATGCATTCTGTTGACTAAAAATATCACCGGCCAAGAGGATTCGAAATTTACCAGTAAAACATAGTAAAAATCTTTATCTTTGGAATCATTATTGTCCATACTAATGCGTGCTATGTATGCAACCCACTATCGTTTTGAGGCAGTTCGATTGATTGAAGTGGCGTTTTATAATGGAATTTAAATTAGTAATAGTAATAGAGTAGCCGTATTTATGTTACACGAATGATTGTAACACAAATACTGCAAATCATTATTTTTTTTCTGAAAAAAGCTTCAAAACGTGTATCAAAAATCATTGATTTGCCGATCTACAGATGAATATCGATATTAGTCTAGCGGAGGTGTAAGTATCCGCCACTTTGATGCTTCCTTCGATCTTATTTCTGCTATGTGGCCAACGAAACTTTGTCCAAAGTATAGCACCTATTGCTATTGCGTACGGACAGATACTGCATAGTCTATGTGACACCTGCTAACGATTGGGTATTAAATAAGGCTTCTGGAATACTTTTGATGTCAAAATGACGAATCCTTTTGACCACTAAACCTGCCAAGGTAATTAATTAACTAATGTGTAACAAGCTAGGTTATAATTATAAGACTAGCTTTCGCCTTTCTCGACATTACAAATAAACACTTGTTGACAAGCGTTTTGTAGACGGCGACAATCCATACAATTGACTAAACATAACTCTTAATGCGCCATTGACAGTCATGAAGCTTTTTATTCGAAACTCCCTTGCACTAATAGGTTCTTGTCTCGTACTAGTTCTTCTATGGAATTGGAATATATATAGTAAGTTAAACCAGAAATTTGTCTAAGCGCTTTGATGAAAATAAAACATAAAGCAATTATTAACACCATATAATCTTTCCAGGCCAACTGATAACAACAACAACAACGACAGCAACCACTACAACAACAGCAGCAGCAGCAACACCAACAACAACAGCAGCAGCAGCAGCAGCAGCAACAACAACAACAACAACACCAACAACAGCAGCAGCAGCAACAGCACCAACAACAACACCAATAACAACAACAACAACAACAACAACACCGATAACAACAATAGCAACAGATCAATTGATTCCTCTCGTAAATAACACATTTACGATCGCATCAGGTGCAAGCGCAAACCATTTCTGTGCACTCCACGCATGGCTCTATCGCACGTACACCGCTATTAATCTCGAATTTTCTTCCAATACTCCTCGTCCGAGAATCATTATCTACGATCTTGGTTTAGATGGATGGCAAATTGCACTTCTCAATTCACTCAAGTCAGCCGGCGTCTTTACCGAATTGCGCAAATTCGACTTCTCGAAATACCCAGATTTCTGGAACATAAAAGTCAATGCCGGAGAATATGGCTGGAAAGTGGGCATTTTGTCGGAATTGGTTAGAGACTTTCCAGGAATATTAGTGTGGCTGGACTCGGGCTCGTTTATGAGAACACCTTTTTTGCGGAATATCGAAAAACTGCTAAAAAATGATAAGTGCATCGCGTCTCCCAAGTCTTCTAGTACTCTCTTCAGATGGACTCACCCTGGTGTATACGCTTACTATGGCGTGCCTCGACCGGAGAAGTTTCGCTACGTTGATAATTGTAGCGCAGGGGTGCTGGTTTTCAATACTCACACAGCTAGTAAACTATTTGGAGAATGGCTGGACTGTGCTCTTCACAAGGACTGCATCGCACCAGAAGGATCCAGCAGAAAAAATCATCGTCAAGATCAGGCAGCGTTAACGTATCTTTCTGCTAGAGAAGGATGTTTTTGTAGGAAGACCCCAATAGAATTTAATGTAATGAATCATATGGATCGCAATTGCGCAGAGAACATAGTTCGCTTCGAGCAGTTGAATTCTGTCCCGTGGAATATTAGTGAAGGAGATAGGCTACAAATGAAAAGGTTTAAAGGCAAACGTAAGGGATATTGGTGGAAGATGGCGTGGGAAGTAATACCTTGAATGTACCCGGTTTTGAAAAACCATGTGTCAGCCATTTCATATGTGCAAATTACATAGAACATTTAAAAAAAAAAGCCTTGTTCGAAATTCAGTATTTCAAATTTGTATCTCTTAATAATATTATTATGTAAAATTTATAAACGGGGATAAATCGGATATTTTATATAGAAATTAAGATGTATCATTTAATGGAATAAAATCACGTTATTGACGTCCTGGTCTGTCGTTGATTGAGTTGGAACGTTAAACACCTGCCTTTGCTACAAGAGAAAAGAATTTTCAGCATTTCACTAAGTTATGACAACCGAAATGATTAAAAAAAGTGGTTCTAAAATTCAGCCTGTCAGAGTTTGTTATAAAGTTGTGTTACGCAACTAGTGATGCAAGCAGATACATATATTCTGTCACTTTGATAAGATGTTATTTCCAGTTTTATCAAAAATATTTTGTCGGTTAATTAATCTGGTGAAACAACGGAAAGATATATAAGCAAGTCTTAGACTCATCATCTTTAGCATCTTTAAAGATTATTCGATAATTGTCTTTTACAATTCCTTGCGATTAGAATAGTCCTTTATATTCTAATAAAAATTGTATCTAAATAATAAATTTATTCGTTCATTTCCTGGTGAAGATCAGTGGTAAATGGAGTCGATCTCAACTTAGGATTATTATTATAAACGCGTTTAGTGTAGTGAAAATTACCCGACCTATAAGAAGAAATAGACGTAAGAACTCGAGGTTAAATAATAATCTAGGGGCGGCGTATACAAGACAGATCAAGCATTGTGAGTATTGAAAACCAAACTTTAAGTCAAAAGGCCTCGTTCAAAAGAGTTGAAAGGTCGACATATGAACGCTCTTCCTCGTGTGTTGATTCGACAGCGCACAACCGCTTCTATAGTCTTCATAAATTATCTGTATTACACGTATAGTAACGTTAAACGTATTATTATTTTCTTATACAGTGTGTGCAACTTTTTTTCGAAAGTAGATCGACAGGTGTAACAAGGACAGTTGGACAATACATTCGATGGCAACCTTCAATTCCTGCTCGGTCAATTGCTGATAAATTAAAAGATATAGGAGTAGACGTCTCCCGCTCAACTGTTACAAGGCATTTGGCTAGCCTTGGATACCGAAATGCACTTCCCCTTTGTACACCAATGTTAACTCCAGCCCATAAGCAAAAACGAGTTGAATGGGC